AAATTAATCACTGGTACATCATGATCTCCAAGTGCCTCTTGACCACTGGCATCTGCCAACAAATACAATGGATCCGCATCCACCAAAATGTTTTGTAACCGTTGACTGGAGTAGATCGGGTCGAGTGGTACATAAGCGGCACCGGCTTTCAAAATACCTAATATAGCTACGACCAGTTTTGTGCTGCGTTCAACACAAATAGCGATGAGATCATCTGGCTTAACTCCTCGCGTGATCAAATGATTGGCTAATCGGTTAGCTTGTGCATTGAGTTCCGCATAACTCAAAGTTTCTCCTTCAAATTCCACTGCTATAGCCCGTCCGCTACACTCCACCTGTGCCTCAAATAATTGATGAAGACAACAAATAGGTGGATAATTAACAGTCGTTCGATTCCAACTATATAATAGCATCTCTCGTTCTTCCGGCGGCATCACTGTCAATGTTCGTACAGGTTGCTGTGGTGTATTTATGAAAGCATCAACAAGCGAGACGAGAGCTTGTTGCATATAACCACAAATCCTCGCTGCTGAAAGCGGCGATACCACATGAGCTGTGAGACTCAGATTGTTATTATCGTCGTCCAACGACAAAGTTATTGGGTAATTTGTTCGCGCTTTACTACTGAGAATATTCACTCCAGCGAGTGGTTCTATGCCACGCTCTGTCTGCGATTTATGGCGATAGTTCAGCAATGAGTTGAAAAGAGGTAAAGAAGATGGCACTCCACTACAGCGTTGCGCCAACGCCAGTGATGCATATTCGTGAGACAGTAAAGCACTCAAACGCGAATGAGCGTTGCGTACAGCATTTTCGACTGTAGTATCATCGATATCCAGCCGCAAAGGTAACGTATTGATCATCATACCCATAACACTCTCGTTTCCTTCTCCAGATTGCAGTCGACCAAGTAGTACAGTACCGAATACCACTGTTTCATTTCCGCTAGCACGAGCAAGTACCTGTGCCCAGGCCAAATGACAAAGACTGGCTAGATTGACATGGAAATGACGTACAAAGGCTCGCAATTGATTATTGAGTTCCTGTGGCAGCTTCAATTGCCCATGATCGATCTCAATTCCATCGTCATGAACGTCGGTCAAACCAAACGGTAGGGTTGGTGTATCAACATCGCTAAGCATTTCACTGAAGAAGTGAGTATGTTCAGATTGACTGACACCCAGACGAGCCTGGGCTACTACATACCGAAATGGTGTGGGTGTTGCCAACTGTTCACTCTGTCCTTCATTAATCATACGCACTTCTGCATTTAGTTTCTGTATAGTAACGTAGTCACCAATTATATGGTGCATCAATTGCAATACAATCCAGTCCCCTTCGCACGTTGGTGCAGCTAGCAGACGCAATAGCGGTGCACGATTGAGATCCATTCGGTAGTGACTAGAATTGTAGCGATGTGTGAGCTGATCTAGTACTGAGTTGGTATCATCCAGTGTGACTTCGGTGAG